GGACCAGACAAGGATCAGCTGAAAATGGTGGGGGCAGTTTTTAAGGACAGCGTACAAAGTTCAAGAGATCAAACTTTCCACTGTATCTGTGCCTGGCCAGGTGCTTAGGCTGGTACCCCACATATACAAGGATGCCCCACAAATACTAGAGGGACAGCACTATCAGTCCTCACAGCCAAAGGAGGCATTTCTAAAATCAGGTATCAGTCTCATGGTAGGCAAAAGATTGAATTATTCGTAGGTACAAAGACTGCAGCTGTGTGTCATGTTCATTTTAGCGCTGAGTTGAAGCTTTCTTGAACCTATGTTCAGTGTAATTAAAACCAAATCCCTCAAATCCAAGAATTGCTTGGAAAGGATTCTGTAATGCTAGGGCAGCGTGTATATGTTCTCATGCCTGCCCTAATTGTATGGATTTGGTCGTAGGAGCTGCTGGACTCCACCACTTCCATTGATTTGTCGCAGTCTACAAATCCCAGAGTTTCTTAAAACCATGAAGAGCAGAAATGACTTAAAGAAAATAATTGTATGTATTTACTGTGAATGCATTATGCACAATTTTATTACATTTATATTAAAATAAGTGAGATGCACTTTGCTTTATTTACACTATTTTCAGGCTGTTTTCCTTTTGCCTAAATGAAACCCTTTTGATGCTCTTGCTTGTCTGGCTGGCTGTAAACCAGGTATTTAAACAAAAATAAAGAGTTGCCAGCTTTTGCCAGCTGGGGATGAGAACCCGGCTGGTGATATGCGGGTTCGGGAGGCAGTTAATCCAGCTTTTATGCTTTTTTATGATTTTATGTAAAAAGAGGTTAAAAATCACATTTGGCTCTTTCTTTGTACCACTGTTTTGTTGCTGTTGTGGGAATGCAGCAAAAGGTTGCTCATACTTTTTATTATTATTAGGTAAAGTCCTGCATAAATTAGGTAAAGCCCCAGATACAGTTTGCTTTAGCTATTTGCCATGTGATTTGCCTTGTTCAGAGAATGACACGTTTTATCTTCCCGTTGCCTTCTTTTATAAATCACACATGCAAACCACATCTCAACTTACTTGTAAAAAGAATCTACCACTGCCTTGTAGTTTTCTGTATTTTACTAGCTTCAAAAGAAAAGAGTAGCTAACTGTACAGATAGGAGAAATAGTAACAGTGCTAATAGATCTAGTAGAAAAAATACATAATGCTTTTATTCTGTGGCAGAAGAAACAGTGATTTAAAGAGAAGCATCACAGATTTCATATGCAGTTTTTCAGCAAATAGCTTGCAATATGCTCAAACTCATAAAACATTTAATTAATTTTAAAATTCAGGAGGTATTTTAGTTAGTTTTGTCATATGTACTTTTTGAGATAATTTGCTTTATTTGACACTTTCCAAAATTTCACTCTGTATTTGGAAATATCAATGATGTAACGAGTCTGTGTGTTTTGGCACAGTTGTAAATAATGTGTGTTAATGTGTTAATATTTATGATTTTTTAATCTTATATACACAAGGGGGATTTTTAATACATTTCTTTTCATCATGTTTCTACTACTAATCCTTAAGGACAGTGAAAATTAGGAATATGAATGCATTAATTACTTTGGGATTGTCAAAATTGCCGTACTGGATCAGACTGCATTTTGTTTCTGCTTATAGCATGTACCAGGTACTTCAGAGTGGGCTTGGATTTACTGAGTGAGAAAAAGGAGAGGCAGATAAATGAGCTCGACACCCCTCTTTAGGACTGGCTAGGGTAGGGTGTGTGTCCTATGGTGTGGTCACGGCCACTTAGTGTCCCCTGAATGGGTGAGGACTGTGTCAGCCCTTGCTGCAGAGGAAGTTATTGAGAGTCATCTTACACTTCTTAGACAATCACAAGATAATGTACTCATGGAAAAAGGTTATTTCTGACCTGTTAGAGGTTGCCTTATTCATTAACGCCTGAAGGCTGTACTGCGCGTCACCAGATTTTCACTACTATGTATCTAAATGACTGCTCCTGCGTGTCTGCTTACAGTTTGAATTTGGGTGAGCTCTTTGTGGTGGTGATGGCATTTGGCTGTGTGTTGTAAAAAATGTTTTGTTTTCTGTGGATTAGTTTGTTGGCTTTGTTGTTGTGTTTTTTTTTTTTTTAAATCAGTCATATATGCTACCATTCAGAGTCTGTCTTTTAATGATACAGAAACAATTCTTTATAAAGAATTACTTAATTCTAAATAAATGTAGTCCAACTCTATTAGTTGCATTTCTTTGATCTTTCTAGCTATTTATTTAAGTCTAATTTCTTGTTTTAAGGTTTTTGCCTCTTTAGTAGGTCTTTCTGCAGGAAGTATTGGCAAGTTGGCACATACAGTTGTAGTGCCTTCTGTATTACCGTTTATTAACTTGCATCTTTTTTGAAGGAAAAGATATGATCTTCTAGAAATTCACAGAAATAGGAATATATCTGTATGGATTTGATAGCGTTCAGTTTCCTTTCCTTATTGCTTATGGTTTCATTATGGGTGTATGCTGCTGTTACGTTGTCTCCATTTCTACAGTTTAATATGAAGCTGTGTTAAGGTCAGGACACACTGCTTAGATTCCTTATTCCAATTCTCTGCAAATTCTCTGCTGGGAAAAGGGCTGCGAAATAGGTTGGTTTTAGGTACGCAGCACTGGAGGCATTATGTTAACCAATTATATACATTTCTATGATCATATAAGATATAAACATAGTATCATAGTAAATTAGTATCATGTAATCATTGTCATATTTCTTTGCATTAGCAGAGTTCAGTAGTTTGGACTATTTCATGGCATGTAATGAAACTGTCAGGAGAAATGTATTAAGGACTTAACTTAAACAAAGATCATAAATAAGCTAAACTTGTCTTAGTAGGATTAAGGTGTTTCTAAATTTGAGGCTTTGTTCTTACAGGTGGGTAAGGAGAGAGGAAGTCACTGGGCAAGGAGATGCTTCACTTGCCCCAGAGTAATGCTAACTGAGGCAGTAGTGCCCGTAGATAGTGTCTTTTCCTAAAGCTGTGTACACTATAAATGGGATGATAAGAGGACATAGGAAAGGGGAAAATGCAGTCATGATGATTTTGAGCAGGTCATTCTCAGGTTTTTTGTATTTTGCTTTTAGCAGTACAGTCCCTGGTGTGCCCAGAGTTTCAGTGAGCTCAGGTGTGAGTCAGTACTGCAGTTGCGTGTGTTGAGCCAGGTTCTGGGAGTCCTTGTAGCACACTGTGAAAATAAAGTCTTGGTAACACATCCATACAGAGATGCCTCAAATAGACTGAAATGATCGTGTCTGAGATAGTCCATGTTTTACAGCTGGTTTTGGTTTCTGTCTTAGGTGTTGGAAGATAATGACTATGGTCGTGCAGTGGACTGGTGGGGATTAGGAGTTGTCATGTATGAAATGATGTGTGGAAGATTACCGTTCTACAACCAAGATCATGAGAAACTATTTGAACTGATTCTAATGGAGGACATAAAATTTCCTCGAACTCTATCTGCAGATGCAAAATCATTGCTATCAGGCCTACTGATAAAGGATCCAAACAAGCGGTAAGTGAAATTACTTGGGTAAAAAGGCATAATAAATAATTACACTGGGTACTGTAAAAATAGGCTGCTGGTGCCTGGTCTTTCTGGCTGAAGGACCTCTCAGTCACAGGAAAGGGCCATGCGGAGCCATACAGTCTCACATTTCCACTTTTTCCATATACAAAGTGAGTTTAACAAGCAAAAGGAAAAAAAGCATGTGGAAGAGAACACTTTTTTAATCGTTCACGGCAAACATGGGGATCTTTTCAGGTTTAGGTTGTGTACTGGAACAAAGGGAAAGCTCTCAATTGTTTTTCACAGTATGACTTAACCCCGAGTTGCCTGTAGTGTCTCATGGGGACTACAGCACTTTTTCTTGGAAGTGATCATGCCAGAAGACGTGTATAGACAGCCACAGCTGAATTTTGTTAGGGCACATAAATAAATCACATATTAGAACATGTAAACTAGTAACTTGTTAAAGAATACATCTTCTGAGTGAAATTTAAATACAGTGGTTTGAAAGCAAGTATCACTGAGCTGCTGCCTGTGCCCTTTTGTGGTGGGCTTTTCCCTCTGGGATTGTTGCCTAGGAGAGCTATTTTCCAGTGGCTCCTGCACTGGACCAGCAGTGTCCAGTCCCCTATGTTTCTAAACCAAATCTCTGTCTTTGTAAATCAGTGACATTTGTCTGTAGGTCCCCGCTTTGCCCCAATCTCTCTGTTGTTCTTGCAAATCTCTTGGCATGTTTTAAGGCTGCAGGTATTGTTCTGTCATGTCTCTCTCTCTTCTTTAATCCTCCTTCATCCTCAGTTTGTTCTGAAGAAGTTTTCAGTAGTGAGCATTGCTCTCTGGCACTCAGGGCAGGGGTGGTTGCCGTTTCTCTCTGAGGGATTTGTCTGCACGCAGCCAGGACAGCACAAGTGGTCAGCCTTTCTGCTGCTGCCCAGCAGTGCCTGTTTAACTGAATTTACTGTATGCAGTAAAAGCAAACCCTGGCCACTCAGCCAAATACATGGAGAGTAAAGTAGAGATTTGTTCCTGTACCAACTCCTGATGCATTTTAACCTCCAAACAATCTGACCCATTAAATGTATTAACCTTTAGAACTGAAAAGATACTTCCTTGTAATTAATCTTTGCAGACAGTAGTGTTTATTTACAAGCTTATTCATATTCAAGTTCTGGTGTTAGCTAATGCTAAATAGGGTTGGGAGCACAGAGGTTAACTGCAACTTTTCTCTGAGCAGCTGGATGGGAAGATACTGAGAGAAGTCTGGAGACTTCAGGCTAACTGGGATGCTTTGCAGAGATGTAGAGAATTTTACAATGAGTAGTTGAGAAACAAAGAGGAATACAGCTTGGAAATGAGAATAACTTTACAACCATTACTGCAAGAGAGAGGTAGTAGTCCAGAATATTTGGTAATTTGTCAGCAGGGTAATACCAATATAGCTTTTTTTCCTTGGTTGTGGGAATTATTGCTTCTTGCAATAAATGCTTTAGAGAAGAATTTATCTTACTTAAAAGATTGCTTTTAAAATTTGTCTTTATATCTTTAGCAGTTCCTTTTAATGAAACACAAACTGCCTGTGTCACTTTTCTCATAAATATTTAACACGCATGGGCTGCTCGTTCGGTTGAGATTAGCTTTTTTTCTGTTGCAACTTCTTTCTGTTAGACCTTCCAGTAGGATAGCCAGTCTCAGGAAGAAGATGAGGGCTGAGCAATCCTGAAAGTCCATGTGCTGCTGAAAGGGGCAGAGGTTCTCGTCACTGGATGTGTGGCTCTTTCACCACTGACAGCAGCAGCTCAAGGGAGCTCACTAAACTTGTTGAGTCAAATTTGACTTGCTAATGCAAGAAAAAATGGCCAGTTCTTTCTCGCTTTCTCATTGCGGCGTTAGTTTTCATCCAGGTTAGTGAGCTGACTCAGCTTACAGTCATCAGCGGGAACGATGCTGTAGATGCAAGTGAGAGGGGAGAGGTATGGGCAGAGGTAGGACCCTCCTTTTTTGGCAGCAGTGACCACTTCCGGGAGCTCAAATCACCTTGGGCAAGTTCACCCAAAGTCAGCAGAACTCACTTCCTAAGATGATTTACCAGAGCCTGGCATTGGCAAGCTATGGGCCACAGTGAATAGTGTGGTTATTTACAATGGCCTTTAAATAACCTTCTCAGCAGGCCTACAATTTATTAATTTATACTAATTGACTCTGATTGAGACTATTTTATGGTAATTGGTTAATTGTTACAGCACCCGGATGCAACAGCAGTGAACACTGTATAAAAATGATGTGTGAGTCATTACTGATTCAGTGCCTGGCACCTCCTTGGCAAAATTTTATGTCAGCATTGTTGGGTTGGTTTTTAATAGTGCCAGAATGTTAGTTGGTATTTCAAGAAAACTAAACTTAACGTATGTTTTTAAAATGAATGAATTGTGTAAAAAGCTCATCATGGACAGTAATAAACACTGTAGTTGAAATAATCAAATAGAATAGACCATGGCATGGATACTTCTGCTATCACATTTTCTCTTGAGATCACCTGAATTCATATTAAACAGGTGAGAATTATGTATTAAATGGGGGGGAATTGTTCCCAGACAGTAAAAAGACCCAAATGGTCACTTTTCCGACCATTACAGTAACTTAATCTCCCTTTAAGGGTAACACTTGTTTAATATAATTTTTTTCCCCTCTCTCTCTTTAGACTTGGTGGAGGCCCAGATGATGCAAAAGAAATCATGCGTCATAGTTTCTTTGCTGGAGTAAACTGGCAAGATGTATATGATAAAAAGGTATGTCTTTGTATGACATTGAATAGTCTGGCTTTTGCAAGGTGGTTTCAACTGATAGTCATAGGACTGCTGCTCTCTGAAGTTAGTCGTGGTTTTCTTTGCAACTTTTTGTGTTAGTACAAATGAATAATTATTCTGATCTAGGTGCACTTTATTTAATCTTCTATTTTTCAGTAATAATTTGTCAGTGGACTAAAAATAAATTTCGCAAACCAGCTGAAACTCAGCAAAGATTTTTCTTTTATTATGTAGATGGCCAAATCTTTTCCTTTCCTTTTTCTTCCTGGGCCTTCAAGAGAAGAGTAGGTGCGTGACTCAAGATAATGTAAGAAAATGTAATGGAAGTTTATCCTGAATTGTCTTTTTATTTCTGCCTTTTATTGAAAAGTTGTTTTATGGAAATAGGAAAATTAAGTGATTGGAAGGGTCTCATTGCAGAAATTTACTTTCTGCTTGCTTGTGTTTAAGCAGAAATCTTTTTCAAACTTACTTTTAAAGAGATATCTAAGAAAATTAAAATAGCATTAAGACACAGCCAAAACAGCTTGTGGAGAAAGTGAGTACTGGGAATTCAATTGGAACAGTTTTCTTTAAACTCAGTCCTGTTCCTGTAATGATCAATACTTTGGGGATGATTTTAGAAAATGGATTTATCTTACTCAATAGAGAAACTCAATTTGACTTGTTTTATATACAGAAGCTGATTTTATCTCGCTACTTGTGTAAAAATTTACTTGTTGCTATAAACCCCTTCTATTTTGATAAAGTCTTTTTATTTTTTTTCTTCCCCAACTGTTTTACATTGTTAATCTGGCAGTTGAGCTGTGTAATCTTAAAAGATAGATTTTTCTCCTTTTTTTGCTTGGTTCAAATAAAAGGGAAATGAAAGACATAAGAATGAGCAGAATATGTTTATGCCACAATTCAATGATACAAACTGTTTTTTCAGTTGTTGCTGAACTGGAATTTTAAAAATGTGTGGTTGTTGGTGTGGTACTTCTCTGACAAATACCAGAATTGAAAGAAGAGCCGGTATATGGTGATACAAAATACTGTATTCTGAAGTTACTTGATGCAAGTGTGATTTTTTTTTTTTTTTTTTTTTTTTCCCTGGCAGTATCATGAGGTTTCAAGAAACTCTAAAATAAACAATCAGAGCAAGTATATTAATCAGGTTACTTTATGAGCTCAACCACTGGTTGGTTATGTAAGGATGTTGTAGAGAAGCACTTTGAGGATAAAATCTAAAAATACAAATTGAGGACCTTTCTGGAGTTTAAAAAACCCCACTAAAATTAACTGGATTTCAGTGTACTAGGAGTGGGTGAGAAGGAAAAAGCTGTTACATTACTCTTGCTCTGTTGAAAAATATTTAATTATTTTACATTAGAAATAGAGCTCTCAATTCTACACTGTGTTCAACATCATATTTAGTTAAGAAAATATAGATACTCTTAATTTTTAAGCATGCACTTTGAGTCTTTCCACATCAGCATGGCGAGTGTCTTTCAGTCAAGATCTTATACTGAGCTATTAAAATAAAAGGAAGTATTTTTGAGGTATAAATACCTCTCTTGCTGTATAAAATTTATATAAATATAAATATATATATAAATGCAGATATTTTACTTTTATGCTCATAGAGGTGGATATGGCTTATTGGAGTGTTATAACTGGAGAAATTGTAGTAATTCATTGCTTACTCTGTCCACTGTCGCTTTGAGAAACTAAATTTGCCAGTAAAAAATCAATTGAATTTCCTCAATTGGACAGTTAACTTCAAGGGTCATAGGGATTGCTGTTGTGCAGTAGTGGTACACGATGTATTCTTTATGGAAAAATAACTCGTGAAAATGAAAATATGGGGTTTTGTTTAAAGAAAAAAGTTTTGTTCCTATAACAGAGTTATTTGTCTGGTTGGTTAAAATATCCAGTTGTTCCTTCTGCACCCACAATCTTAGCAGTTCTGAGGTGTGCAGTGTAAGACACTGCTCTGAAATGTAAACTTCAAACACAATAATAAGGTTAATGAACTCTCACTGAATATGTTTATTAGAACACTTATATGAATTTTTTTAGGTTTTGGTATTCTAAAATAACTCAGGAGGTACGTGCATCAAACAAATTTGGTTTTCAAATAGGTTTATTCTATGCTTGTTTCTGTTGCTGTTTATTATTAGTGGCATAGTCTACAGCAGTAGGGTCATTTGATGAAATTGATAGTTGATACAATTATTTGCATAGTAAAAATATTTCACAGTATTCTTGCCTGAGATTTATGCACCATGAAACTCTAATTTCCTGGCTACATTTCAGGAGTGTGTTACTGTTAGCAATGAAAGAACTGAAGTTCACATTCAGAGTAATGGAAACCAAAAAATCATGTGTATTCCAAGTAAGTGCTGGAGGATAGTTTTGCACATGTGCACACTAGGCTCCTGTGCCGCTAATTTTATCATTTTTACTAGAGATTAAGTACATCTCTGTACTTACTAGGTTATCACTTTAGTGGTGTGATTAGAGACAGAATTATATATCTGTAAACTTGGCACATTTCTTGCAATAAACAGTTGCTCTGTCAGGTCAAATGGATCCAAATGGTCAAATGGAATTATTAGCTCTCTGATACTGCTAACTAGTTAAACTAATTTGATACTACACAATGATAATGAAATGTTGGATGGCACACTGGAGGAGAGAATGTCGTTGCCTTTAAATGAAAAATGTGTAGTAGTTAGCATTTGTTATCAGATGTATTTATTTTTGGCAGAAAAACCATGAGGGCATATGAAAGAGAGCAGGCGGTGCCAGGTTCTTCCTGTGATCATCTCAGCCCTGATGAGTTTTTATCTCTGAGCCCGAGTATGAGAAATTGAATAGTTTGGCAAACTCTGAAGACTTCAAAAGCCCATATACTTCTAAATAAAAGATTTGTTTTATTTTTAGCTAGGATCAGGAAGCTTTTTGAAATTTCTCTGTTACTCATTTAAGAATTATTTTAGCGTATTTTTATTTGGGTTGCAGAAATATTCTTACGTTGTCGGATATTCTGTCTAGGGTCTTTCACTGAACAAAAACCAGATGGGCATTAATTTAAAGGTAGCAATTTGGTTATGTCTTCAGGCTTGCAGCTTGAAGCACTCAGGTAGCCTCATGGCAAAGGAGATCCAGACCTTTTAGCAAAGCCTGGGTTTCCTCCTGCATGTAATATGGATGAAAGGAGAAACAGTCGGACTGATACACATATATCTGCTTCTGATTTCTGATAATAACCTCCGATTGTTCCTGAAGCTGATTAGGGAGTGCTAACAAAGTTATTTGTTAGTGCTGGGAAGGGAGTGAGGGCAAGTAACAGTAATGGTTAAAGCTGGGGTGTCTGGCTTTGCTGCAGGTGCAGCACTTGCAAAGGCCCCTAGCAGCGTGGAGGCAGTGACTTTCAGCATGAAGTCTGACAGCTGCAAGAAGCTGTTCTTACCCTTCAGCTGTGACTACCTTTGCTTTACTTAAGACACAACAACAGCAGATGATGAAATCCCATGATTGAAGCCCTGGGTTCACGCCTGGCAAAATCTGCAATATAACTATAATCTTAAATGCACGTTTAAGTACTTTTGTAAATCAGATTTTGAGGGAAAGGGCAGGAGGGAAATAGGAAAATAGCAACATCTGGTTTTAGGCCGTTGCTATTTGAGTCGTATTTTTTTGTACAATTATCTGCAGCGCAACAAAGCCAGTAGAAATGACCCTCGTTACTTGCTTTTTTGTTGTGGCCATGCGAAGTAGTAAAAAGATCAGAAAACTGCTAACCAGTCTGATCTTTTCATTGTGTTTCCAATGATTCTTTAAAGTATGTGGGCAGACCTAGGGGTTGATTACCACCCCTTCCCAGCTGCATGAATTTATGAGGAGGAAAATAATACATAAGGGTGCACTATATCACTTGGAAAACAGAGTTTGCCCATGGGCAGACCTGACGCTGAACCTGCTTTCCTGTGGATTTGTGTTGCGTGCCCTTCCACTGCTGAAATCCCAGCTCTTCCTCCTCCCCCTGCCTAGGACCACCACATGCAGTGTCCCAGCATGGGCCGTGGGGTATTTCCAGGCCCTGGCCGTGCTGCGGCTGCTGGCTGGGCAGCAGGCTGCCTGCTTCTGGGCCGGGTATGGGGATGAACCAGTCCCTACGTGATGAATGCTTACTGACTGGCTTGATGCTCGACTCAAATTACTGTCTTTCCTTCGCTGGAAACTCTGTTTTGGGGGGGTGTGGGGTGGACAGGGATGTCTCTCTTCTGTTCAGTAAGCTAGATTAAGTAATTCTGTGGGAAGTGTCTGCGTTCCTAGTCTTTTCTCCATCATGGTGTGTTTGCCCAGCCATTGGAAATTCATTAGGGCAGGACAGACTGACAGAGTGTGTAATCTCATCAGCTCCTGTTGCCTTTGGTAACTGAGCTAGTGTAAGAAAAAGGACAGAAATTTATTGTTAGGAAGGGAAAATTGGTATTTTAAAGGACTTATGTATTTTTAATTAAAATACTGTTGTTGACGATCTAATGCTGAAAGACTGAACTAAGGTTTTGTGTTAGTATCTCTGCATGACCTTTATGGTCACCAAGCATTTGCTTTGATGGGAGCTTAAAAGATATATAAATGAGGGAACATGTATTAACAGATATGCATCAGAAAAATGTAAAATTTTGAGTCAAGCTTTGCTAGTGTCCTTTTAGAATGTTTTATTGTAGTATTTTGCAAGTTAATGAATTTCAGTTTATGTGAAAATGGGCTGTTTACTTGGAATGTCATTTAGTAAGTTAACTAGTTCGTAATACAAAAACTTTTTTTTTTTTTTGAGAAGTCTGTTTGTTAATTGTGACATGTTTTCAGCACTTCCAGTGGAGCATGCCTGTGAGGAAATAAAAAGGTGTGTTTCAGCAATGTGACCCCATTCTCTTCTCACAGAATAATTTATTTTCCACCATTCTGATTTGGCTAATCTGTCTCTT